GAATGAATGAATGAGCATAACTCTGAGGTCAGGAGAAGCACTGAAAAGGATGGAGCAAGATTAGGAAACAGCAGAAAATTATTAACACATTACTTTCCAGCTGTTTCCTGATGTTGCACAGCTGCTCTAAGGTATTAGATGACTGACCTTGGTTAGGCTCAGATTTGGGCTATTAATCCCCCATTCCTTGCCTTGATCTGGACATAAGGGCACGGAGCTGTAGGGTCCTGCTTCTGAGGGTTCACATCTCAACGCATTTAGGAGAGGGGATGCAAAAGGAGCAAGGGAGGAGTTCATGCCTTGAAGACACAGGGACCTCCCTTCCCAAAGAGCACCGGAGCAGAAAGGCAAACTCAAAACATGAGGAGACGATGCAGACCAATGATAGATCCTGCCCAGCAGCTCCTCCATGCTCCCAGGTCTCCTTGCAGCCCACCACCACGACCCTGCCCATGTCATGGCCAGGCTGAGCTCTGGTGGGAGGGTACCCATGAAATGATGCGCAAAGCTGCAGGGTGAGAAGCAAAGGCTTTGTACTGGGTTTGGAAGATGCAAAGGGGACAGAGAAGCTTTTGCTTGAATCTTACCCAAGCTCTGGGAGCACAGGAGAGCACCTTCAGTGCCTGTAAGGACAAGGGTTGACAGCAGCCTCCAAAGACAAATGAACTAACAAGAGAAGCCACAGGAGAACATGTGGGTCCAACCTGATCAGGCTTTTCCTCCTGACAGCACGAGGAAACCACTCAGCAACACGAAAGGCGCCAGGTTGTAAAAGCAACTAATAAGGAACAATGATAGGTGTTTCATTAAAACCTCATACACAGACAGATGACAATGATTATTGTTGCTGCTTTTCTTTTTCTAGCTAAATAAGCCTTTTCTGCCTCAAAATCAAACTAAGACCAACCTGCAAAGCATGCATTGCGGAAACGTGCCAAAGTGACACTAATTCCTTCCAAAGGCAGAGCCCAGTGGAGCATCCCTCTTGTGCCACAGCTTTATCCCCATTTTTCCCTCACAGAGGATAAGGAGGTTGTAGGCTGCAGAAAACCTTGTGGCCATTATAAAGAATCCTTTTGGAGAAACACAGATTTGTGTCTCCATCGGGAAAAGACAAACATCGACATGGGGAGCCGCAGGGGCATGGTCTGATAAGCAGCAATAATAGCAGGCTGTTAGTGTGTGCGGCTGAGAGCTGGATGCCCTCAGATATGGGGAAAAAAGGAAAGTTAAGCCCAAATCTAACAGTAACTGCAAATGGGCTTCCTGTAGATTAAAGGGGTGAGGAAGAGAAGCAGGTCCTCATTCATCAGCCTTGGGTTGAACACGGCATGAAAACCACCAACATGGGGATTCGCTAGGGCTTGAGCCGAAGGAGATCAGGTTTATTTTACTGGCCCATCCTAATTACGCATCCCAAAGAGCATCGTTTTGCAAAACTCAGGAGTCAGTCTCCTGTGAACACGAGCAACTCCAGGCTCACAAAACACAAATAACCATCAAGAGCCATTCGATTCACCGCTCCCTCCGGACACTGCTACGCGCGGCACTTGGCTGTCCCTGACCCTCAGCTGTCCCAACGGCCATAAAAAAGGGGGAAATAAATAGAAGTAATACCTCTCCCCACAGAGCAGCAGCACTGCCTTCTCATCCCTGACAGCAGCACGCTACAAGGAACAGCTGAGAAACAGCTGAGTAATTGCCTGGAGAAAGGACGGAGGATGGGGAGCTGCGGTAGGGAAAGCCCTGAAAGATAATCCGGGAGTGGGAAACTGGCACATGCGATGCGAGCGCTGCTCCCGGAGGATAGCACACTGCTGTTATATCACCCCAAATTACAAGCTTGCAGAACCTAATTTGGGAATGCTGATGCCTGACTTGTGCTGTCGTGGGCTGTTATTCTCTAATAACACCTTATTCTGGAAGTGGCCATGGAGAAGATAAGTGCTGGCGAGAAGGGTACCGCAGAGCCACTGGTGAGCTAACCAGAACCAGCCTGCTGTTATGATGGTGGTCTTCTCTTTATGCAAACCAAATCCTCTATTTCGTGCTAAAGACAAGTCATAGAAGAACCATCTCCCTCAGCATCCTGCAGAAGAGACCTACCACAAGCCTACAAACACCAGCCAGAGCTGCCCATCCAGCTGCGTGCTTGGCTTCAGATGATGGAGAATCCAATAAGGATTTATTGGTGTGGGGAAAAATGAAGCCACCCCTGAATTCTTCAGGGATCCCCAACACAAAACATAACCACTGAAAAAGAAACCTCCTGGCCCTAAAAGTAAATGCACAAACAGACCTGAATCAGTTGTAGCTGGGACCACATCCGGCCCAACATTTCAGACAAGGTTATTGTTTTATCTGATGCACCATCATGCACTTACACGCCGTCCTGCTGCATCTTCAGTTCATCCTTATGACCTACACACACAGACACCCACTTTACCAGCAATATTCATGTTTTTCCAACACATGTGCACCTTCCATCCGTCCCATTTGTCAGGCTCTCACAATCAAACCCTCCTGAGCTTTCCCCGATGCCTCCTTAACAAGATCTCATGAATTTTCTCCCATTCACCAACATCCACTGACCACAACAAGCCCTGGGATGGATTCAGTAGCTCCCAAAGGAAAGCCCCAGGAGCAGCACCAGCTCTCTGCTCGCACAAACTTGTCCCTGATGGACATCACTTTGCTCATGTGGCCTCAGGAGCAGCCCAATGAGCTGAGAAGCAGCAGCAGCCACCCCAGGAGCACACCGGGTGCTCTCTCCTCTCCATCCCACCAGACAAACCACCCACGTGCTGTTCCTCTGTGCTGTGCCTGCACTCTCTGACAACATACTTTGTGTATAGCCTCCGGCAATCGTGTTCTGTTATAATTACAACTCTTCAGCAAGGCAGCTCCAGTGATGTTTAATGCCAGTTACTTCATGAGCACTCTTTAATTAATGCTCCTTCCCTGCTGCCCCTGCCACTCACCCTCCATAGAGCTGCAAGGACGCTGCCTTCCACAGACTCCTGGTGGGTATGGCTACGTGGAATACTTTGGGTTGAAAGTGGATGGAAACAACTCAAGCACGCAGACCTGAAGGCAACATCGGGGTCCTGATATTTTCTAGGTGCTTTCTTGGGGTTTCTGCTTACCAACACAACCACTGTCTTCCTGCATTCTTAATTACAAGCCTTGTTTTCTCTCTTCCACGTACCAGAAGCATTATCTATCTTCATTACAGGACCTCATAAATAAGTTCCCAACTGAAGACCATGCTCCCACTGAGCCAAATAAGGTTTCTCATCATTTGATCAATTGTCTAACAGCTTCTGAATAAAACTCCAATGTGAGCATATTTGCTGGTTTTCTCTTCAATCAAGAGATGATTAAACATTGTTTCCTGAGCACAGCATCTGCATGGGAACGAAAAGCCCTTCAGAAGAGACACAAATAGATTCAAATGGGGGATTTTCAATTTGCAGCTCATCCCTGCTTGTCCTTAAAGGGTGAGTGCTGGTGGGAAGTGAAAATGGAGATCCTGGAGCGCTCAGGGGGATCCCAACTGGTGGGGTTAATGGCAAATACACTGGACTGGGACAGAAAGCAGGGTGGAAACAGCAGGGAACATACGAGGGATACCCAAATAAAAGGAAGATCATAGGATAAAGAAAGGGAAAAAAAGCCATGGAGAAGACATGAGAGACAGCATCCTCTCGGTGCGCTGTGGAGAGCCCCTGCATCAGCACAGGTTGGTTAGTGAGTGGCTGCCATGAACTTCAGCAGCCCCATGATTCCAATCAGGAATGCAAGGCTTGCTTAGAAACACAGCCAAATTCCTTGTGGGAAGTAAGTGGGTTTGTAGCTATATACACCAGAGAAAAATTTTGGGCCCTTCAAGTGTTATTCTGTTGTTTAAACCCAATTTGACATTTACTCTCTCTAATGTCAGATCTTCAAACCTAAACACTTCAACAAGATCATTTCACAGCCTTTCATTTGCCTTCCTTGATTAAGGTTAACTGGTCCCCCTGGTCTGGGCCAAGCAAACACACGTGAGCAGTGCCAAGCGACAGAGAAATTCAAAGGGGCGAAGAGCTCCTGGCATATCAACCAGCTGCAGAGAGCGACCTTGCCTCCAAGGAGACTTCGACTTTGGGCACACAAATAGCTGGAAAATGATGCTGGAAGAGGTTTGACAAGGGGTATGACAGTCCCTGGCACCTGAGCTGGAGACCCCAGGAAGGCTGGAGGGATGAAGGGATGCACGGAGAGAAGTTGTACGTCTGCTCCCCTAACAAGGCAAGGGGAACAGATGGCCTGTCCACTGATAAGGTTTTATCATCCATGGTTATTTAAAGAAACTGCTCAAATGCATCTACTGAGACTTTGAAAACCATGTTCCACAAGAATAGAAATGTATAAAAGATCAGAGATTTAACCTTATGCCAGCCACTGCCAAGGAGATCACATCAGCTGAGGCTAATAGAAACCACAGGAACAGCGCTGCCAAAATCAGGGCTATCTAACTGTAATGGATGAAGGAGAGAGACTTTTTAACAGAGTCTGTAGAGGTAGGACAGGGGTAATGGTTTTAAACTAAAGTAGATTTAGATTAGATAGCAGGAGGAAATGCATTACTGTGAGGAAAGTGAGACACTGGACAAGATAGCCCAGAGAAGCTGGATGCCACATTCCTGGAAGTGTTCAAGGCCAGGTTGGATGGCGCTTTAAGCAACCTAGCCATGGGCACAAGCCACGGACACACACAGCATGTTGAACCATCCCAGCTCGCTCCCACATGCGCTTCCGTCCCCTCCCCACTCCGGAAACAGTCCTCCACAGCTCACCCCTCCAGCTCACCCCTCACTAGCTCTTTCATTTACAAGAGATGGATGCTCCAGGGTTTCCCACCGCTGCTTCCCTTCCGGCTTAACCCTCCAGCTGCCACAGATGTTTCTAGGCTGGGATGCAGCGAGCTCATCCCAGAGGTCAAACTGTGGTGCCAGCTCTGCCCGGATGCAACTTCAAGTGTTCACAAGGTGCCACCTGGGAGCTCAGGCACAAGCCCCTGTGCTGCCTTGGGGCACCCCAGATATGATGCAAGGCCTGTACCCCCCATAACACCATACCCCACTCAGACACGTGCCAGCCCTTGCAGCACAGCCGGCAACCGCACATCCTCGTTTCTTCAACCACGTGAGGCAGCAGCCCTAAGCCACCTACCGAGACCTGCAAGGAGTTGTTAGGCTCTTGTTTTCCCAGAGAAATGTAAAAGGAAGGAGATGATCATAAATAACTCCAAGTCTTGTCTGCTCCAGTCTTGCAAACTGAGCCTCGGGCACATGGAGGGCTCTGACCACCCAGCCCCAAGATCTCCCTCCATAAGCAGCTTCCCTGGAGGTGGAGTGAGAGCTGCCCCCAAGACCAGCCCTGCCTCTCTGGCATGACCCCATCAACAGGGAACACTCCTGCACACCAACACCGGCAAAAATTACCCCATCAACCAGCCCCATGCAGCCTTTGCTCCCTACAGACATGCTTGGGGTGCCCAGGGACCCCCATAGAGCTGACTCCCTGGTGGATCTGGGGAGAAGACCCAAGCCTCTGTCCATCCGGAGCGATGGCGTTCACAGGAGGGATGCGGAGGACTCTTCCCAGCCCCTGGGTGAGAGCAAGCACCTCTCGCCCACCACTGCCGCTCCGCAGAGCTCTCTACGTTGAAAACAAAGAAGCCGGCCGCGCTCCACAGCCTCAGAGTGCTGCAGGAGGAATCTGTCCGGCCCCAGGCCCCCATGGCCAGCTCCAAACCCGGCTGAGCTCCCACGCTGACTTCTGCAGCTACAGCAGAGGGAAAAGCAGCACCCCGAGGTGCGGGAGTAACCAGTGCTCAGCGGGGGGTTCCACCCGAGGGCTTAGTTTAGCTTGTAAAGATTTTCTTTTGCTTGGGGTTTTGTTGCTGGGTTTTTCCCCTTTTTTTGGTGTTTTGGGTTTTTAGGGGTAAGGTTTTTGCTTCTTTCTTCTTAGTTTTTTTCACGAAGGGCAGCTCTGTCCCAGGCGCCCCAAGAGCCCGTTTATGGGGGACAGCAGCGCGGGCAGGGCTGCCGGGACCCCGCAGGAGGTTCCCCCCCTCCCCGGACAGAGCCGCTATTCATCCCCGGACAATGCCGGCACCGCGGCCAGGCCTCCCCGAACAACGGCCCCTCTTGGGGGGATGCGCAGGGGCGAGGGGCCGGGAGGGAGGTGCGGGATGAGCCCCGCCGGCTCCCCCTGCCCCGGCTCCCCCCCACTCCGCACTCGGGTGTCCGGGGTGGGAATCGCCCCCCCCCCCGCTTTCTCAGGCCCTTCCCCTGATTAATGCACCCCCAAAACCACTTCCCCCCCTCCATGAGCCCCCTCTCAGCTCCCCCCCACCCCCGGCACCGGCGACTCACCCGCGGCGGCGGCGGCTCCGGCAGCCGGCGGCTCCCCGCCTCCTCCCGCGCTGCCCTCCGCCTCCTCCCCCATCGCCCTTCCTCCTCCTCCTCCTCCTCCTCCCCCCCCATCACGCTGCCTCCTCCCCCTCCAGCCCGGCCCGGGGGATGGAGCCTCTTCCCGGGAAGTTTGTTTCACCCCAAGGCGGTTTCCAGCTCCTGGGGGCCCATAGAGGAACAAAGGCGAGAGGGTTTGGGGAAACCCGCTGGGGACTTCCATTGGGAAAAGCGAGGCTGGGACAAAGTGGGTCCCATCCTGAGCAGCCCAAGGGCACATCCCCAGCGCTGAGCACAGCCCTGCTGGCACTCGGTGCTCCGGGATGAAACTCGCCTTTTGCTTCCCAGCGTCCTGGAATTCCCGCAGTAGGGATCGACACCAGGCGCCGGTGGGTGTTAACGCCGCTGACCGTGGGCTCCCTTTGCTCCGCAGCTGTTTGAAGACCCCTGGGCCACATCTGGAGACAGCAGCCTCCACACGCCAGCCCGGCTGCTCTTTAAAATCATGTCCGTTAAGCTGAATAAAGATATTATCTGTCTCCACAAGCTCTTCCTGCCTT